ACAGAACAAACAACTGACAAAGGTGACGTGTGAAGAGGGATTACATCCAGCCTAAAAATGGACAAGACTGGATAAGAGAATAACTAAAAGATAACAACTCGTCTGAAAAGAAAGCTCTCAACTGAAGCCATTGACAGTATCCTGAAGGGGCCTTAAGTGCACAACACAACAAGAAGGAGACGTCTTAGCGAGAGTGAGCTTGGTCACTGACCAAGCTCACTCAAGTTCAGCGCGTCTCCCATCCCTTTTTGATGCTCTCTTACATTCATAATTACTATTCAGTAGTTACATTTTGCATAGTTAATTAAATAAATTATTTAACGTATATGTGTCTCTTATGCTTTAATTCAAAATGTTTGTGACTTGTTTGTGTCATTATTCTTTAGTAAGGCATGACCCGCCTACATTTAGCCTTCGCTACCTACAAGAATGCCCAAATTTGTAAATTTATCTATCTCTTAAATAAATAAAAATTGTTGGATAATTCTTGTATGTGGTGGAATCAAACGTCCTCTTCATTCACTTTCGGTAAATCCTTTTCATTTTGCCAGCCAAACAGCAATTAAAGCTACACCGGTACGTGGTTATGCCGGTAAACGGGACTAGTCAGCGTTAAAAAGCAATTGTATTTGAAAAACTTCATCAAAACCCAATAACATCTTTGTTGCTTTATGAGAAAACTAAGTATACAAACAGCATGCGCGTGAATACAACCTCTGAACTCACCCGAACGCTGCAACAAATGATCTCGACAAGCCCTGTACTCCTCCTCTAGAATGGTTGTAGTGAGCTTCGCTTCAGTGAGACCAAGCTCTTTCAGAACCTCATCGGCCACAAGGAATTTTTGCACCATTTTATTGAGAAAGCCAGAGCAATAATCAGACCACAATTCGTCAAGTATTTCTAGAGAGCTACATTCAACTGTGATGATCAAACTCCCTGACTGAGTATCCACAATCAAGACTTTTCGTAACTTCTCCAAGTAATAAACCAAACCATTTAAATCCTCTGGTTCCGATGGCCGGTCAATTGACGTCAAGTATTTTGACGCCGCGAGGTTCAAAACTTGCTGTTCCGTGGGAAAACCAGTTTCTGCCTTTTGCGTATGTGATGAAATAGGTAACATTGTCATTCCTTGGGCGGGCACCCCTGCTTCGTGTTCCCGTGACGCCACTGCTATTTCTGAAGTCGGTCCCCCTTGTTGACCAGAACTTGAGATTGTTTCGCAGTCAATCCGCAGTCGAAGACGAGCTGTTGGGAAATAACCTGTTTTCAACTAGGAGTAGAAGCTAAAAATATTAGAAACAACGCCCAATACCTCGGCAAGTCCTTTACATTTGTTGGTGATATCCTACCGCGGGGCACGAAATTTTTGTGGGTTCTAATTTTTGCGAGTTTTGCGGTTTTTTCCAAGATCCACAAAAAAGTTCCTGCACAAATGTTCTCCGCAAACATTTACTCCACTGGCAAAATTATGCATATACAAACCTCATATGTAGAATCTTGTTGATGCCATTTAGTTAAAACATCCCTTTAAATAAAACGATGAAATTGCCCAGGGTACACTACAGGTGCGGCTGGTAAAATTTTACAGGAAAGGATCGTCTGAAGGTACTAACAGCCACACTGGGGTAAGGCTATTTTAAGTAAGCCTCGAAATCTGATTGGTTGTTTCGTTTTAGTGTTCCATTTTCACTGGGTGGGAGAAAGTTGTAATTTAGAGCAAAAAATAGTGCGATTCTTGAATAAATCGCACTAGTTAAAGCCAATCAGATTGCAAGGATCACCAGTGATTTCAAAATGGATATAATAAAGAGCATAAAGCGCTAAGTTGTAGGGAGCAGCTACTCACCTCCTGCTGCTTGAGAGATGCCAGCGGAGGAGCTGAGCCTGTCTATGGATTGATGCATCTCTCCAAGCTGATCTTTGATGTCTTGGGATTCCTCTCGAACTGCTTTCTCTAGGCTTTGAACTTCTTGAGTAGTACTTTTTAGTTCCCCCCCAAGCTGATCTTTGATATCTTGGGATTCCTCTCGAACTGCTGTTTCTAAACACTGCACTTTCTCTCCTATTACCTGGGTATTTTTTTCTATCCCTCCATCGACATCTTTCAAACTAGTCTCCAAACGTTCCATGCCATCTTGCATTTCTTTCATCGTAGATTTCAGTTCCCCTAAGGATTCCTTTATTTCCATGTCGTTTCTATACCACTCCAGCAGTTCTTGTACATTTCTTTCATCCTCTGCCGTGAGGGGATTCCTCAAAAAGTTAAAAATGGCCACTTGCCATTCACGCTTCTTTGATGGACTGATCTGACCCGCAATTCTAACAAGAGCCTCGCTGAGGTCTTGCCAAAGCGATAGAAACTCGTCATCTGTAATTTCCATGTTTTGGTTCACGTGACCGTACAGTGTGTTTCGGTAATATTTGATTCTCACCAAATCGGCAGCTAAACTGTAGTCTGTACTTGTTGGCAGGGCATCCCAGCCTGTGGCGGGAGGGATAAGGTTGCATATTGTCCTTAGCAACCTGAACAGCAGAGTAACATCAAAATCTGCTGACTTGCCGTACACCCCTGGGGAAGGGTACAGACAGTCCCACTGTGGCTTGGTAAGCTTTGCTGATATGAGCTGTTTCTCTGTGGCTGGATGCTTTAGTGTTGTGGGAAGATTACTTGGTGGACAAATCAAATCAAAAATCTCTCTCAGTAGTGCAGTGCCTCCACTTATCAACAGTCGTGAAATGCGTTGAAAATTCTCTTTTCCTCTTGTTGAACGAAGCACTTCATCTGGGTCTGGGGCGGTGGCCATTTTGTACTTCAGTACAGTCTGAAGTGAAAATATGATGTTACTCGAGCTTGGTATGTTGGAATGGATTGATATCACTTAGGATGATTTAGATTATGCAGTTCAGCCCCTAGTAAGCAGCCACCCTTGGGGAAATGGATACTGGCCGCTTAGAGGGGGCTGGCCGTTTAATAGAGGTAAAAACAATACAAAAGCCCTCATGAGGACATTTACTACTGGCCGCATAATAGGGGTGGCCATTTAATAGGTGGCTGCTTAATAGGGGTTGGACTGTATTATATTCCAGTCGGTTAATTTATACTGTTGTATTCATTATGAAAGGTCTTCAAAATATAGAAATGGTGCAAATGTCTGGACTGACCAGTGAAACAAAGTGTAATACACTTGAAGAATGGGTCTTTATTCATCTATCCTTTACTATTCAATCAAGCTCTTCCTTGGATATTAAAACAAAAATCATTAACGAGACCTTTTTAAGAAAGCTTATGGCACTTTGTAATTTTTGTAGATCTTAGTTTTAGCTACTATGTTAACCTATTTTATGTAACGCAATTTTGAATATCTTGATAATAGTAAGCCTGGTTCACACTTGTGAGATAAACATAACACTGGTGAAATAAGCTAAGTGCAAGCACAAGAAAAAGGAACATTTTCCTTTTTCCTCTGCTTATTTCACTAGTGTTATGCTTAACTTATGATTACTGTTATTA